GCAAATTCTTTGTTTGGAAGTTTAGATAGTTAAAGTGACTCATGGGAACATAAGAAAAGGGTGGTAGATAAACAGAAGTAATGGGCCTTTTCTCAACACTGCTCCTTCTCAAGTGCTGCTGACTCATACTTTGCCACTCCACTCACCTGCGTGCATATGGCAAATACAATGGTGTCCACTCCTGGTCCTCCTGGGCAGCACTGTCTTCTGGCTTTTGTTGGACCTCTGAGCATTTTGGTCTTTCAATAATTGATTACAGTGTTCCCTCAGCTGGGTTCCAGAGCATAAAAAATGGCTTCGGAGGCACAGGTACAGAGGCTGACTTACAGGAGGCAACAAAAGCCTGCTAAAATCATGGCCCGAGAGGACCAAGACTGGACACCACCGACCTTTACCAGAGATGAGATGTTTTGCTCAAGCCAGACACTAAAGCCCCTGCTCTATCTGGCCATTGCCTCTCATGAACTGAGCAAAGCAAAACTAGACTAAATGCAGATCATGAGTGGGATGGTTTAGTGCCTGGCTGGGAATTGGGGCTTTGCTGGCTCCAGGATGAAGGACGACCATCCCCTCTGCGTGTGGTGTACTCAAATGGGACTCCATATATCTCATTGTGGGTGCTACAGCAGGCTCCAATCGGAGCCACCGTTCATACCGCTATAGATGTTCCGGTGATGAGGGGACATCTCCTCTACGCCCGGCCTCTTCTGTGCCACCTCTCGGCCGGGGCTGCCAAACTTGCCATGCTGATGCCTCAACGTTTTGCACAAGCCAGACACTAAAGCCCCTGCTCTATCTGGCCATTGCCTCTCATGAACTGAGCAAAGCAAAACTAGACTAAATGCAGATCATGAGTGGGATGGTTTAGTGCCTGGCTGGGAATTGGGGCTTTGCTGGCTCCAGGATGAAGGATGACCATCCCCTTTGCGTATGGTGTACTCAAATGGGACTCGGTATATCTCATTGTGGGTGCTACAGCAGGCTCCAGTTGGGCCCACCAATCATACCGCTATAGATGCTCCGGTGATGAGGGGACATCTCCTCTACACCCGGCCTCTTCTGTGCCACCTCTCGGCCGGGGCTACCAAACTTGCCATGCCGATGCCTCAACAACTCAGGGCTCCCAGATATGACACGGCCCTTCTGTAGGTGCTCCGGTGTCCCTGATAGAATCTGTTTGGGCTCTGGACTCCCACACACACTACCCATGCTACCCCTGTGCTTCTGGAAAAGGTCCGGGCTGCCAGGCGGCTGAGAGGACACCAGCAAGTGTTTCGAGAACTGTTCTGGGCTGCCTCTCTTGCCAAGTTTCTCTGGACTGAGACCCCGTAGGCCCTTATGATCCGGACTGGAGAAGGACCCACAGCGAGACCGGCACACTTGGGGAAAGGTATGCGCTGCGTACTCCTGGCTGGTGCTATGTCTGCGGCTTGCTTGCTCAGGACCCATTGCCTCCTCCCCTGAGCCTGGCTTATGTAGGTGATCAGGACTGCCTCCAACCGGGCCACCCAACAGCTGCTGCTTATGTGTGAGATGGTCAGGGCTGTCAGTGCTGGCCGCGCTGGAGGTACTGCTCCCGTCACCCACATCTCTTAGTAGGCCAGGCCCAGGGCCGCTAGCGTGAGACAGGCTACTCTGGCTATCGATTGAATTCCTGCAACCGGCTGGTCCCCCGGTACCCGCTGACCCGCCAGTACCTCCAGAGCCCTTCTCCTCATCCAGCATGAGGCACAGCTCTCTCAGTTCAAGGTTCTCCCTCACCACTTCCTCCTGCCTCTGCTCCAGCTCTTTCAGCTTCTGCAGGTAAAGCGTCACCTCCTTACGCATGATTCCTGCACTGTAGCGGCCCAGGCGCTGCCACTCCCTCGACACCTTTTTTCCTTTCTGTCGGTCGTCATCCAGAAAGCAGCAGAGGTCCCGCAGCTCCTGGTTGTCCTCTTGCAGCTTCTGATTCACCTCCTGGAACAATAAAATCTATGACTCAACATTGATGTCTAAGCAAAGCCTGTTTGACTGATAAGAGTAAAGTTAATCAAATGCTGGCGTCAAAGCTGCACAACGGAGAAGGATAGAGTATGGAGAACACACACAACACACTAAGGTATCCTAGTAGAATATTCTAAAGTTTGTCAATATTTGTTGGCAAAATGTATGAAAAAAGAAAAATATTATGTGTGTATTAATACTAGCAATAACATAGAATATACAGTATTTTATATATATATATATAGAGAGAGAGAGAGAGAGAGAGAATAAATCACTATTGTAACTGGACTTGCCACTTTACACATCTGGCTATAAAATTTTATTTGTATTTTATTTTTTACTTATTTATTTATTTATTTTGCATAAGACAAGTGTTGCTATGTACTGTTCTATGGCAAAATTACATTTAAGAGGCACCCCGGGGGACCTTTAGCCCCATTATACCTGGTCATAGAGAACTATGCAAGGAGCTATATATTAGAAAATGTTAGAAGAAAAGAAAAACTGTTTAAAGCTGAAAAACATGAAGGCCACAGGACGCTTTAAAATATATATTTTATACAAACGTTTAAAAAAAATAATTATAATTAGCTTTTGTTTGTTTCGTACCAAAAAGCGATGTGGTATTTATAATCATAATCAAAAGTAACCTAAGTGTAGAAGGGTTAATGCAATCGCTATTCCATTTCGCCCACACCCTGTCACCTGAACACAGGCTCGCCTTACCTTCAGACCCCGTATTTCGTTGAGATGCTGCTGAAGCCTGCGGTTCACCTCTCTGATGAGATTGCTGTGGTCCACTATGACACTCATCTTCTCAGCTTCGGCTCTGCGGAGCCGGCGTACCAGTTCCTCCTTGCTCCATTTCAGAAGCTCCTCATCCGTAAGTTTGGAAAGGTCCTCTGAGGGACCTTCTGCGTTCTTGGATATGCTCGACTGCAGCTGAGGCTGGGTGGGCTTTTCCATTCTCCCGAGCAACTTATCGAAGTGCTAGGCTATGAATCAAATCACCGGCAAGCCAGTAAAATCCTTCGTTCGCGCTTTCCCGCAAATTCCCTCTTGTTAGGATCGAATATTTGACACTACCATTTTTACGATAACAGTTCTGCCCATGCTGTCCCCTCTGAAGATAGGGATGCAGCCCTAGAGTACCGGCTAATACTTCTTCCCCTTATGCACTTGCTGTAGGGGTGGACCCTCTGTCTCTATGGCAGAGACTCTGTCTGTTTCCATCTGTCCGTCAGCATCCTGTCCAGCTCAGTGCGGTGCTGAACCCGTGGCCGCTGTCCGCGCTCATTAGGAAGGCGCACGGCTGGTCGCTTCTGTGTGCAGGTTGCGTGACAGCAGCCTCTCAAATTGCTCGACTGGCTGAGTTGTGATTTTTCTCTCTCTCCGTCTCTTTTTCGCTCTCTGTTCTGTCACACGCCCCCTTCTCTTGGAGACAGCTAACTTTTTGATATTTGGCGCCACCTGGTGATGTTAAATCAAGTCTACATAAACTTCACCATTTACGTAATTTGCCAATTCAGCATATAATAATAATAATTATTATTATTATTATTATTATTATTATTATTAGCACTAATTCCGAGTATGGGTCACCATACTTGGCCACATGTCACGTCACTAAAGAGTGTCACGTCACTATATATATAATATATATATTACTACATTTAAAATTAATAAATATCAGACTGGAGGGATGGTCCTAAAGGATGGCTCTTTATCTATTTATTTATTATAGGTCATTGTTAAAAATGTGTCTAGCTATTATTATTATTATTATTATTATGGATAAAAAATAATCTAGTACACTCTAGTACTATTTTATGTTGTGCACACTAGCACTGGACTCATTGTAAGTGTTCACAAACAGTTTGGGATAAACTGTTTGGAATGACAATATGCATCTATGAAGATCTGTGTAGGTGGGTCTGTCAAGCAAGTGTCACATCACAGAGGTCAGTTTACAGAACATAACACTGTTTTGGAAAATGTGTTGCTAATTTGAACAGGTATTGTCTAAGATGTGGGTCAGAGGACAGGCTTTCATCTCAAATTATTCAGATTGGTTCTGGAAGCAGAGGCATCTTTATAAGGACAATTTGTGTTACATTATACCTCACTCAAACTTACCTGTTAATAAACTGCATCCGTGCACATTTTGAACATCTATTTCTAATTAAGCTTCCTCTAAAAGTGAAAATGAAAGCGATTTAGACATCTCACCTGAGCCAACATTTAAACGCCATGAAAGTGTATGATTTATGAAGGGATATGTGGTGAGCGTGCTGAGCTGTTTTCATTATGAAAATTATTTTATGGTTAGTGCTGGAAGAACACAGCATGGATCACTTTCAAGTAAATTATTGGCTCTTACCGGTTGAGCTCCTCTTCAGCCTACCAGTTGTATTTTGAATTAAAGAGCCAAATTATTTATGAGGAAATTTTCCACTTTTTTTCCCCTTCATTTATATAACGCTGGTGATTCCAGCTGACACCAGACATTAAGCAAACCCTAACTTTGCCAGTTTAGTCAGTTTAATAATGACTCAGTCTTATAACTGACACTTTTATTCAAAGCAATTTACAGTTCACTTATTACTGGAGTTACTAATGATGAAATGCTTTGCTCAAGGACACAATGCTGATAGTTAATAGATCAGTGCTGTGGGGTTCAAACACACAAATGTAAGTCATCATTCATTAAATATGTGTCATAGTGCTTTGTAATGCTTCCCTGGAGTTTATAGTATATCCTTTTTTGTGCCCTATCCATTTTAATTGCATGGAAAAGATCTACTCTTCTTTTACATTTCCCCTTTGTGTCTCACGGAAGAAAGAAAACCTGTACTCTCCTGTAGCAGGTAAATTGTTTTCCTGATGTCATACTAGATGGTAGTTTAGTGGCGATGGGAGGGAGAGTTCCGTGAAGTGTAGAGGGGTGTGTCTACAGGATGAGGAGAACACCATAAACAAACAACCTGTGACAACATTTTTCTTCTTGCAGTGCAATGGCGAGGACTCTACTTTCCGTTCTGTGTCTCCTGGTTGGACTTGTATGTTTCCCAAGTACAGAATGTTGGGAAGCACCCTGGTTCTGTCATGGACGTGAGTGTCCCGTGTACACTGTGGTACAACAGTATGAGGTAGGCTGACGATTTTTGTTTTGTCTTTTGGGATATTTCAAATTTGGTCTATTCTATGTTAAATATTTATATCATTGTGTTAATAATACATAAACAGGGATTTGAGGAGCGCAACTATGAAGTGAGCCATTGGATTACCACTGATGTTGCGAGTACCAGCAACAGTGATTTAAAAGATGGATTTTGGAAATTGTATTATTTCAATCAAGGGCAAAACAGCGAGAGTAAGTAAGCTACACTGGTAACACTTTACAATAAGGTCTCATTTGTTAACATTAGATAATGCATTCGTTAACATGATCTAACTAGGAGTAATACTGTACATTATTTGAGCATTTATTAACCTTTTATAGTGTTAGTTTATACAAATTGTCCACTGTTTATTCATATTAGTTCACAGTGTTTTAGTAGATGTACAAATTAACATTAACTAATATTTATAAATGCTAGTTTATAAAAACTAGTGTTACTGCTACACCAAACTCATGGTGCTGATTAGATCATATTTGACTTTTTATAAACATTCCAGCATGGTAATCATATTTTAATAATGTCATTTTATAATGATAGTGAATCATAATTTTACTTGTCAGATAAGGAGATTGATATGACCAGGCCTGTGGTGGTCTCTGTGAAGGAAGCTGATGGTATGGGGGAGCAACAGGTGTCCATTTCCGTCTTTCAGTCTGACGCGGACATCCCTGAGCCCAACGATAATACCATTAGAAAAACAGTCATACCAGGCGGTACTGTCTACGTCAGGTTAGTTGTTTTAGGAAAGGATGACAGTCAAAAACTGTTTGACACTTTCTCATTTAAACATTCTCTCTTTGCTGGTCATTACAGGTCGTTTAGTGGTGTGGCATCTGATCAAGACGCCTTAGAGAATGTGCAGCAGCTTAGAGAGGACCTCAGGGCTGCAGGAAAGGAGTTTGTTGAAAACAGATTTGATGCAGCTGGATATGATGCACCGTGGGATTTGATCAACAGGCACAATGAAGTTTGGGTTTGTGCACCCTGAGGACTTGCAGATCCTGAAAGTTCTGTCCCTCATTCCTACGGTGTAGCCTCTTTTTACTTTAAAGTTCCAGTCAATTGAAGATTTCCTTGCATATCATATGATAATATAGTGTTTCAATCTTAAACAATGTATTAATGTTTCGTTTTGTGCAATAAAAGTGTGGAAGCACTTTGGAGTTGTTTGACAGCATTATAAACTGGTTTTAGGAATGTGACGTCTGTCATCTACATCTATTGGTTTAGATAGGTTTACACTGAAAATGCAGTTTAATTTTACTGAAATCTAATGCTAATAGCTTTGACAATAAAACTTTTGACCTCTTTATTCAAGACATTTTTGTTCTTTTTTTTTATTATACATTGTATGTAAGCCATTCTATTTTTCAGTTTAAGACATTCTATGTAATTAATTCACCCAAGTTTATGGACTTATTAAATGATTGAAAACTGTGTAAAATAAATGCATTCCAATAAGAAGATGATAAATATTAAGACCTAGAGAAGACACTGAAACCCGATACATAAAATACAGAAAGTTTCCAAAATACAAAAGAGAAGCAGGTTTAGGAATGATCTGACTGGGAAAAATGTGATTTTAGGTTTTCAGTTTTTGGTCATGTTACAAGAAACTCCACCCATTTAAACTGGTCTAACTAGTGATCCAGAACATCCCATAAGCTGCTAATTAAACTATTTGATTTAAATAGCACAATGCTCAGTGATAGACACTAAAGAAATGTGAAGTTGAATGTGAATCTTCCAGCTTGTGAGTTAGTATGAAACTTGTCATTCCAGTTCAAATCTGTAAGAAAGCATGTGACTTCAGACAACGTTTTTGTCATTTGCAGCTTGGTGCTTATTCAGTTACCTTAAAATACATAAAATAGTGAGTTGTTTCACAGCATGGTTGTATGAACCTGGATTCATAGGCCTGCAGCACTATGCTTGTGTGATTGTTTGTTGATGGGGGTTTCCCTCTTGTGTATAATATGGGAGTGTACTAGCTGAGAGGAAAACTGGGTCAGCCCACCTAAGACGTTTTGTCATTGTGACTGATCTAAAGTCAGTTTAATTAGTCGCATCTTCTCTAGCAGAGCCAGGAAATGTGATGAGGCTGCATTTTCCCACGTCTGCAGTACCACGCCGCAATTCTTCCACAAAATGGACCAGCAACCTCACCTGAGCGAGAGAGCAAACTTTGTAGTCTCTCTGAAAACTGTCTAACTCGCTCTCCTTGGCTGGTTAAATAGCATACAGAAGTTAGCATACCAACATTGAAAGCAAGTAAAACAATTAGCTGACCTTAAATCAAAGTTTTTATTTCATTTTCAAGACAGACTCATTAGCTAATTTAGTCACAAAGAAACATAAAAATGTCCAAATATGATAAAATACTGACTCACTGGTCACTGAAAGCAAATACGCACTCTTGTGTTTAATAGCTGATAAGATTCATAGTTACATTATTGTACACTAGGTGGCAGCACTGACTCGTGATGTTTCTCTAACCTCTTCTACATTACATATGGCATCAACTTAGTCTACTCAGTTTGTACATTTCCAGTTTTCATAAAATTGTCCTCACCCATTTGCTTTAGCGCTAAATGTGCTGTTGTATCTAGAAGGACTTTGAGCTAGAAGAGCATGTGGGCAGTTCCTCGCTAGCCATGTCGAAATAAAACCCGCTACCCAGCATGCCTCAGCACTCACCATGGGAAGCTGGACACTCAATGCTTTCCACACACATTCACACAGTTTCCATGGTTACATTTCTATAGCAAGAAGCCTGCCATGTTCGTCAAAAACATAATTATGCTTAAATGAAGTAAAATCTGTAATAACCTAGATGTGTTTTTATGAGTCATAAAGAACTTGCTGTGACTTACTTATATAGTGGTAGGCTATTTTCATCAGCAGGCCTCAGGACTGTTGTGTTCTGCAGTTCATTTAACACAGGGAGCTTATTTGGATATTAGGTTTTACGCTTGGAAATCAGCGCATGCTCGGGTAGCGTTTGTGGAGGATGGGAGATGTTCACAAGAACTTAGAGACTGTGTAGTTGTGATATCTCGGATCAGCCTAATTATCTCATTTATCGGCACATTTTTTAGTTTGAAATTCTGTCTGGGCTCGTATGTGCCACCATGGTGTCCAATAAAAGCCAGTCTGACTTTGGCAAGTTATGTCAGCATATGTTTGCAGGCTTGTGAATTTTAATCTGCCCTGTTTTGGATGATGTTCTTGGTTTGGAGGCCCCAGCCAAGAGCCTGTTTGGACTGGCTCATGGGAATTAATCTTATCAGAGACGGGCCAGTTTCCTGAGAATATAGCTGGAGCACTATGCTGTCAGATAAGGCAATGTAGGAATGCAAGAGCGGTTGTGCATTTTGAGAGTGTTTTAACCATGTAGAATGTTCATGCTTATGCCAGCCATGTGATATGTGTGTCCATCTGTTGCATGATTTGTTTTTTCACCCATCTGCTTTCGCTCTGCTTTGCGGTCCAAAACACCTTGTCAACTACTCTCTGCTTCTCCCATGAGTTGGTTTCATCTTTTTACATAGCACAAAAATACAGCAACTTTTGGTAAAGAACAATTTTTTTTCTTTCTTTCTTTCTTTTTTGAGCTCTGTCTCGTATTAAAATGTCCCTCATGATTATCGCGGTCTTCGAGATCTCCACCCAGAACCGCTTCGCTCCCCTCCGCGATTGATGATGTGCTAACCATGAGGACACCAAACCACAAAGAGAGCTGAAACTCATGGCTGTCACTGAAGCTCAGATGCTGAGAGCAGCAAATTTCAACTAAAGTTTGGCCCCAACGGATTTGCAATTAATTATTTTTTAACAGTCACTGCAGAATACATAATGGTTGGACTGTGATATATGGAGTATATATATATATATGTGTGTGTGTGTGTGTGTGTGTGTGTGTGAATATGGAGTATATGTAAATACAATGATGTCCAAAAAATTCTGAGAACACGTTGAAATCTTATTTTAATGTGGATATATAATTATAATGTGAATATGGAGTATATGTAAATACAATGATGTCCAAAAAAGTCTGAGAACACTTTGAAATCTTATTTAATGTGGATATATAATTTTAAAGGAATAGTTCAAATTTGCTGAAAATTTGCTGAAGATTAGTTTGTTTCTTCATTGGAATGGATTTGGAGAAATTTAGCATTACATATCTTGCTCACCAGTGGATCCTCTGCAGTGAATGGGTGCTGTCAGAATGAGTTCAAACAACTGATACAATAATCCACAAGTAATACAAGTCCAGTCCATCAGTTAATGTCTTGTGAAGCCAAAAGCTATTTGCTATTTGATGAGCATGTAATGCTAAAATTCTCAAAATCTGTTCCAATGAAAAAACAAACCCATCTACATCCTGTTTGTGACACTGATATGCGAACTGTTCAAATGGTCACATGTTCTTGCCTGCAAGTGGTATCACTCTTCCTCCGTTACAGTGCTTAAGAGGAAGTGCTCTTACGTCTGTTGAGCTCCTGCAGCATAATGGATGTCATCATGTGGGACAGAAGAGCTCATAGCAACCCTTGGATCTCTTGAGGTTCAGCTTTAACTCTCCCCATCTCTGTGTCTCCTCCCCTCACCTTGATCATTCAGCAATTTTGGAAGCATCTCCCATTTGTGAATCTCAGAGTTTAGGGTAATGAATTATAGATTTGAGTTTTTCAAAATGGGATGTTGGGGATTTTATAGATTTTTTTTTCATAAGCATTCACTCAGCTTTCATTAAAATTTAAAGATAATGTCTTTGCTTGACTTGAATCTAAAATGTTTAAGTTTTTGTCACAAGAGTTTTGAAATCCTAGCCACAATTAAATTTTGACTTTGTTTACATTTAAGTATAATAAATTATAACTTTAAATTACAAATATTTTGTCTGCACAACATTACTAGTAGTGTTCGATACTCTCGGGTCATGACCAAATCCAGAGAGTAGCTATAAAAAGGTTGGCTAAACTTTTCCACTCTCGAATATCTGTGAAAAGTGATATGTCCTTATAAGTGTGTATAAGATGAAAAGCAAGACTGACCAAGACTGCACATGCATTAGGTCCCTTATATCAGGAATGCTTGAACAAAAGATGCACAGGGACTGATTTACTGTACAGTACTTTAGATGTTCATCATAGTCATTTATGGCTTTGTTTGCTTTAGTATTGTATCTACACTCTCAAAGTTTCTATTGTTGTTTGTAAAGATTTTAGCTTTAAATTTCATTCATGATACTCTATATATTTGTGATGGTATTTTATTTCTGTCTTTAAAAGATCTGAAACCACAACGAAAATCCTGGATTCAAAATTGTTCTAAAAATATTACAAATCATAACATAGTATAATATTACGGGGTAAAACAATCTTTATTCCATTTTATATTGTACAATAATACAATTCTGGAATGCAAGAGTAATATGTTTAACCCCAAAAATAATTCATTAAAACCTTATTTGAAACATTGCCATTTCAATTGCAAGTGGGTATTAATATACTTATTATATTTGTATATTTTGAAACTGTGAAATCACCTGCATTAGAAGTGGTTTAGAAAAGATTGTTTGCACAAATCATGGATCCCCTGTGATTTTAGGGCTGTGAGTCTTTCTTTGTCATCTGGAGAATAGATAGAGTTTCTTTGTCTTACGACATTCTGAATCAGTTTGGCTGTTATTCTGTTATTCTGACACCATCATCTGTGTGCAGCTGAAAAACCCCAAAAATGTTTTCTGTCTTTTGTTTAAGCAGAATTTACATTCTGAATGTCATCTCAGAGTGCCTGTGCACAAATGGTGCTTACTGTGACATCACATTATTATCTGTGACTGTACACTCAGTTTGCATGCATTACAAATAGACCTTGTATGATGGCACATTTCCCTGTCTCTCTGTTGTTTTTCTTGTTTTTTCTTTCCACCCAGTGCGACGCCAGAGTACAGTGATTATCTTTGAGGACAGAGGACTGTCCAAACACATTAAAACTCATTGTCTGCCTGCAGGGCCTCTACTTGTCCAGTCAGGTTTGGTGTGTAGAGAAAAGTGGCAGTGGTGGAAGAGAGGTA